TCTCTCTCTCTCTCTCTCTCTCTCTCTCACACACACACACACACACACACACATGCGCGCGCGCGCGCACACACACACACACACACACACACACACAGCAAAAGCAAGGCAAGTTTTATAGATGAACAAAAACTATTACTGGAGCATGAAATAACAGACTTGTTCTTTGCTGTCGTCCAGCGAAGATGACCCTCCGTCCCACTGGGAGTCAGCCAATTTCCACGCGAAGAAAAATGACGACGTTAGCCACTAAAGACCAACTGCTGTGAATTATAAAGCCAGTCAGCAAAGATCAAAGGCAATGACTTAATCATAGAACAGTAATGCAAGAAAATAGAAAGATCAATAATTCCATGATTTCACTCGGCGGTACTGCTGCCCTCGTATTTTATATTGATTTTCAAGACAAAAACTCGATTCGAATCATCAAACGTAAAGATCACAGCAAATCTTTTTTCGCGTAATTTGGCTTGAAAAATCTTCCTCTCGGAAAGTTGTTCTTTATGAAAGCTCCTTATTAGTCTAAAGTCATAATCTGTGCGCTAAAAGTTAACGAATGGGAACGCTTTAAAAACTGACTTTGGTTTAGCTGCCAACAGGAAGTATTCACTTGATTGTACTCCACAAGGCTATGTAAGCTTTGAGTAACCCAATCCTAGAGCTATTGCACGGACAACATATCCAAGTCATTTTATAGGGTTTACACGCAACAGTCTGTACCTTACGGCCGTCTAAGAAACAAATTACAGATACCCTCTTTCCCAATCGGCAGTTGTCAAATTCATGGGAAGTCTAAATGATCGCCTCAATAAAATTCCTACGACCATCGGCCCTGTTACTTAACATTAAATGAGACGACGCAAACATTAGCGAGAAATAGTGCTTGTCTATTGACTTTAAAAATCGACTAAAGATGCTTCAAGTGGGAGATACTATTTTGCGGTAATGGTGGTCTCTGATACAGGTTATTTTACCTGTTTTAACTTTTTGTCTTCCAAAGCTTGTTGAGGCGACCAGCACTGGGGTTCACACTGGGCAGAAGAAGGGCGAGTTTTTTGAAACCATGTTGGTCCGACAAGTTCGACAAGTGCGACTTCATTTGACTTCATAATCAGTGCATGAAAGCCATTTTGGCAATGTGTTTGGATAATTTCTTTCTGACTAATTATTCTTGGTCACTTTGACTAAGGTTTGACCGTTGGTGAATATAATTTATTAAGTTTAAATTAATGATTTATGTTCTGTGTCCTTGATTTCTGGGAAATACGCCAACACCGAACCATTAGATATATCCACTAGGCATGATTATATTTCTTACAAATAAATATCAAATAAAAAAAAAACAAACAAACAACTCTACATAACTTTCGTCTTGTTCGTTTCAATCAGTACATTAAATGGTACATTTTAATTGTGATCTTGCGTAATATGCATCAGCAAATAAATTGGAAAAATTACGTTGAGAACTTTGACCGCAATGCGCAATTCACTGATGGCTCTATTAAGCTAGACAAGGGGGTTTAGTTACCAGGAGTGCGGAATGAATTACTTTACCTCTCGTTGTTAAAAGTTAATACACAGTTAATGACTTTGTGGAGAAGCAATGTCGTAATGGATTCTACTCATTCTGTAAAATAGACTTAGATTTTCTACACCTTCTCAATTTCAATTTCGATGTCTTTTGTATGGTGAACTAATGTTTTTTTATCGAAAGAAAATCTTCGTTTTAAATAGTATCAGTCGGTTATGCTAAAAAATCATTGCAACGTTAACGAACCTGCTGTGAGATTCACTCCGGGCAGCACACGGCGGGGGTCTATCAGTGCTTGACCGCTGACAACAACGTGGTCACTCTCGGTAAGACTTAAACTAGTGTTAAAACAAACGCCAGTCTTGCCTTCGTTCGATAAATCTCTCAAACGGCTCCCTTGTATGTTTATACCCTCTACCTGCTTACCTACTTAAACAACCAATCTCCGAGGAAAACAACACCCCAGGTTTTTAGAGGATCCATGGCATCTTAACCTTTGAAACACGAGACCGTCCAACGCTGGTCTATTGGTTAGCTGTTTGCGTTTTGTGTGTACTTATGATGTATAATGCATAGTTAAGACTTTTGATGAGCGATTTGTTTAAATTTACTCTGGATTATGTTGTTTAATCTCCTACTAGAATAAGCTCTGTGGTTTTAAAGGGCACGTTCAAACCACTTTTTTAAATCTCCTAATTAAAAAAATCGGGGGTATATTTATATGCGTCCTGACCTTTCTGAAAGGACAATGCTAGGACATTCTCAAAAATCATTTATCAGTAAAATTATTTCATTGACAAATTATACCTACTATCTCCCCTCATTTGAATGAATATTTTTAAGCTTGAAGACAATTTAAAGTTTTTCAATATTCTGTGTCTAGAAACCTAAGAATGTAATTTTAATTTTAAAAAAGTTATGTCCAGCATTACAAAATTGCTTTGTCATGCCGACGCCCTTAAGCAAAAGTAAAAAAAAGAAAAGAAGATTTATTTCTAATCACGGCTTGGCCTTAGTAGAAGCACACACACACAGATCAGGGACTAGTATATGGCCTGTCTTGGGCTCAGGTGGCGCGCTAATCGATCTGGGCAGGCGCACTATTGAAATCCAATATGTCGCTGTCTGGAAGAAGTTTGCACGCTAATTTAATGGAATTTTACTAGTTTGCAGCAAGAAAAAAGTACGTATGACTTAGTGATGATAAAACTTTAATTCTGTGTTCAATTAGTAGGAGACAGTGCTTTAGAAAGTCACTTATATTGTCCATACTTTATGAAAACACACACAATCCAGTCTGTTGTTAGGGAAGCAATGTTGAGATACGTTCCACAAGTTCAGCATACCAGGAAGGTTTTGGGGCGGTTTCACCAAAGAACTAAAGTCGACAGTTGGTGTTAACTTTTAAACGGAAAACATTGGTCTATTTCAATGTAGGATTAATCTGTAGTGCCCCGCTCAAGAGAAGTAATTATCATTCTAGAGTATCAGTTACACTGCACTAACATGCTTTTTAACTTCTGCAACATATTTTGGGACGCTTGATCAATTATTTATGCATTTTTTTTTTTTTGGGNATAACAGATACCCTCTTTCCCAATCGGCAATTGTCAAATTCATGGGAAGTCTAAATGATCGCCTCAATAAAATTCCTACGACCATCGGCCCTGTTACTTAACATTAAATGAGACGACGCAAACATTAGCGAGAAATAGTGCTTGTCTATTGACTTTAAAAATCGACTAAAGATGCTTCAAATGGCAGATACTATTTTGCGGTAATGGTGGTCTCTGATACAGGTTATTTTACCTGTTTTAACTTTTTGTCTTCCAAAGCTTGTTGAGGCGACCAGCACTGGGGTTCACACTGGGCAGAAGAAGGGCGAATTTTTTGAAACCATGTTGGTCCGACAAGTTCGACAAGTGCGACTTCATTTGACTTCATAATCAGTGCATGAAAGCCATTTTGGCAATGTGTTTGGATAAATTCTTTCTGACTAATTATTCTTGGTCACTTTGACTTAGGTTTGACCGTTGGTGAATATAATTTATTAAGTTTAAATTAATGATTTATGTTCTGTGTCCTTGATTTCTGGGAAATACGCCAACACCGAACCATTAGATATATTCACTGGGCATGATTATATTTCTTACAAATAAATATCAAATAAAAAAAAACAAACAACTCTACATAACTTTCGTCTTGTTCGTTTCAATCAGTACATTACGGATCTTAAAATGGTACATTTTAATTGTGATCTTGCGTAATATGCATCAGCAAATAAATTGGAAAAATTACGTTGAGAACTTTGACCGCAATGCGCAATTCACTGATGGCTCTATTAAGCTAGACGAGGGGGTTTAGTTACCAGGAGTGTGGAATGAATTACTTTACCTCTCGTTGTTAAAAGTTAATACTCAGTTAATGACTTTGTGGAGAAACAATGTCGTAATGGATTCTACTCATTCTGTAAAATAGACTTAGATTTTCTACACCTTCTCAATTTCAATTTCGATGTCTTTTGTATGGTGAACTAATGTTTTTTTATCGAAAGAAAATCTTCGTTTTAAATAGTATCAGTCGGTTATGCTAAAAAATCATTGCAACGAACCTGCTGTGAGATTCACTCCGGGCAGCACACGGCGGGGGGTCTGTCAGTGCTTGACCGCTGACGACAACATGGTCACTCTCGGTAAGACTTTAACTAGTGTTAAAACAAACGCCAGTCTTGCCTTCGTTCGATAAATCTCTCAAACGGCTCCCTTGTATGTTTATACCCTCTACCTGCTTACCTACTTAAACAACCAATCTCCGAGGAAAACAACACCCCAGGTTTTTAGAGGGTCCATGGCATCTTAACCTTTGAAACACGAGACCGTCCAACGCTGGTCTATTGGTTAGCTGTTTGCGTTTTGTGTGTACTTATGATGTATAATGCATAGTTAAGACTTTTGATGAGCGATTTGTTTAAATTTACTCTGGATTATGTTGTATAATCTCCTACTAGAATAAGCTCTGTGGTTTTAAAGGGCACGTACAAACCACTTTTTTAAATCTCCTAATAAAAAAAAATCGGGGGTATATTTATATGCGTCCTGACCTTTCTGAAAGGACAATGCTAGGACATTCTCAAAAATCATTTATCAGTAAAATTATTTCATTGACAAATTATACCTACTATCTCCCCTCATTTGAATGAATATTTTTAAGCTTGAAGACAATTTAAAGTTTTTCAATATTCTGTGTCTAGAAACCTAAGAATGTAATTTTAATTTAAAAAAAGTTATGTCCAGCATTACAAAATTGCTTTGTCATGCCGACGCCCTTAAGCAAAAGTAAAAAAAAGAAAAGAAGATTTATTTCTAATCACGGCTTGGCCTTAGTGTAATAAGAAGCACACACACACAGATCAGGAACTAGTATATGGCCTGTCTTGGGCTCAGGTGGCGCGCTAATCGATCTGGGCAGGCGCACTATTGAAATCCAATATGTCGCTGTCTGGAAGAAGTTTGCACGCTAATTTAATGGAATTTTACTAGTTTGCAGCAAGAAAAAAGTACGTATGACTTAGTGATGATAAAACTTTAATTCTGTGTTCAATTAGTAGGAGACAGTGCTTTAGAAAGTCACTTATATTGTCCATACTTTATGAAAACACACACAATCCAGTCTGTTGTTAGGGAAGCAATGTTGAGATACGTTCCACAAGTTCAGCATACCAGGAAGGTTTTGGGGCGGTTTCACCAAAGAACTAAAGTCGACAGTTGGTGTTAACTTTTAAACGGAAAACATTGGTCTATTTCAATGTAGGATTAATCTGTAGTGCCCCGCTCAAGAGAAGTAATTATCATTCTAGAGTATCAGTTACACTGCACTAACATGCTTTTTAACTTCTGCAACATATTTTGGGACGCTTGATCAATTATTTATGCATTTTTTTTTGGGGGGGGGCAAAGTAGACCAGAGTCATCCTTCTCAAAGTCAAGACCAACCTCGTATCTTTTGAGAAAGTGGTTGAAAGTGACCCCTGTTTTAGACATCTTTTATTAATTTTTTTGTCTCATCGTTAATTGTTAAATAAAAATCAGAATGAATGGAAGGGTTTCTTCGTATGTCCTTGTCAAACAGCTATTTGCTGGATCTTAAATTTTGCCTTTCTGCATATATTTGCGACATGCCCATTGCATTTTTATTCTACTTTCATAATTTGAAAATTAATTACACAGCCTATGTAAAGTAATAGTAATATGAGTATATTTTCTATCACTACAGCAGCCGAGAGATGAGCAGTGAAGATCAGCTCCAAGTATTGGTGCTGGACATTTACAGCCAAATCAAAGGCACTCCTCTGGAGCTGGAGCTATTTAAACAAGCACAGGTGCTCTCTTTTATTATCTTTCCATTACAAAGACATTGGCAGACCCAGGAGAGCAGGATGGGAGGGGGGGGGGGGAAGGCCCAGTAAATTTTGAGCCTCCACCTTGCAATATTAGATTAGGTTTTATTTTCCATTAATTACCATTAATAACCCAGACATTTGGACCAGCAGTTATACAAAGTTTGCTGGTACTAAGGACTTTTTGCTGCTCTTAAAACTGTTGCTGGTCCGTTGAACACTATTTCCAACAGGTCCTGAAATGCTTACATGTCATGACTAGCAGGACCAGCAGTTTCAGCATTTTTGGGTTCCATTGAAGAGCTGGATATGTCATCTTTTGGTGTGTGTGTGTGTGGGGGGAGGTTACTGGATAGAGTCTGTTGCAAATATATCAGCATAAATTAAGCAGTTTGGGACCAATGCTATTTCAACCTGGCTAATCTCCATGTAATTTTCATGTAAATTTCTCAAGATGCACAATATATCTTTGATATATTTAACAACCAACCTTGACAAAGTGTAATTTCTAGTCAACCATTTGTAAAATGATTGTGTTCTTTAGTAGCATACCCCAGTGTTCACATACTCTACCATAAAGCTAACTCCAGATTGTTTTTCAAAGCTTTTTGATTCTTGTTCCAGATCATATCTCAGAACCCGCTGCTAAGGTCCTCAGAGCTCAAGCAAACTGTGATTGAAACCTTGTCAAAAAAAGGTACGAGTAACAAAACTGTTTAAGTCTTAATATTCATTGTTTGTCTTCCATTTTTTATCAAATAATAAGATTTAGTCCATATGTCTACTAATGAGAGAACTTGATACTACCTTCTACAACTGTTGCTTCAGATCAGTAATTTCTGCAAATTCCTGGGATCCCAACCAAATTTTATACTAGGTGTATTCTGCATTTCTCTTGGCATATCACTCTGTCTGTTATTAAAAGATCAAGTTTAATCACAAGGACTTCCATCTATCTCTTACCTATATTATATCATTAAGAAGTATCTGTCAGTGTTTGTGACAATACAGACATTATAAAAATTTATAAGCTGAGTTGATATATTTTACTGCTTAAAATTAATTTATTTTATGATAAGCTTAACTAGCATTGTTATCTTACTTTGTGCAATTCTATTAATTAAAGCTTACATATTTCAGAACATGGCACTCAGCTCAAGAACACAGTGTACAAGTACTTACAGAAGCGCCCGGCTGTGCCCCACCCCAAGGCAGGACCAGAACACCTCAAAGAACCCCTGACCTACATCAGGAAGGCACAGGTGCTTGGCAGTTCTGATAAAACACATGTACTAGCATATGTATATATATGCAGCATTAATATTGGACCTGAAAAATATCCATTGTGTAGGAGGGTGTCTGCAATACAGATACAATACAGATCTGTCACTTTAGCATGCTTCCTGTCTTGTCCCCAAACATTAATAGCACTCATATTATTAACAGCAGCATTTTGAGGTTAATCTATATTTTATCAATTTTGTCATTAAGGCAAGTCTGCTGGCAATGTGTTTCTGTCTAAGTGTGATCAGTTTTATTATTTTGTATTTGACTTAAATGATTTTTGCACCAAAAATAAGGTTATTTTATGATAAGATTGGATAGATTTGCTCTCTAAATTTTTACAACATATGTGTGGATATTTGACTGGGGGTTACTTAATGGTAAACAGTTGAGGCAACAGAGGGGCAAAGTCAACATTGTTCTACAAGAATATTTACAAGTAATGCAAGCTGTGGTCTTGATTGATCTTTAATATGGACCAATGCAGATTATGTTGCATGCTTTATGAACATCATGCATAACAACAACATTCATGATTGGAAACAATAGGACTCTCTTGAACTTGTTTCAAATTCAGAAAATGAAGTAAAAACAGGGAAATTGGAATTCTTAGGTCAGATCATTTTTTTTTTTTTTTTTGGATCAAAATAAAGTAAAGATTTGCTGACATTTGAACATAAATCGTATTTAGTCTGCAAGATAATAAATAAGTTATTCTTGGTGAATTCAGGATGTGGGGGTGGGGGGGGGGAGTTTTGCCAGCTAGCCAGCCCCCTTCATTTTCTCCCTCTATCCTCTCCAAGTTAAAAGAAAAAAAATCAGGAATGCGTGGCCATAAAAACTAGCTCAAACCCAGTCACATTTCCTTTTTATTGGTCTGTGATTGTTTAATGTTCTTGTATCACGGTACATGGCATTACAATGCAGAACATTAGATTGACTCTGGTTAATGCTCTCCATGCTGTGTGTTATATAACACTGCTGGGAGAACTGTTGCCAGTAGACCAGGCTGCTGAGATAAGCACATGTAGCCTGTGGTGAGAGCAGCCAGTGGCTGGGGTTGTGGTTAATGGACTGGTATATGTGGCCTTGCTGTGCTCTAACTGCTCCCAGGCCACCCAGACTTCTACTGGCAGTCTAGTCGAGAGGGAAGGTTTAGGGGAGAGTACAGTCTAGAGCTACTGAATGGGGTGTGACCCCACCCCCAACACCTGAGGGTTAATACCCAACCCCCACCCCCTCCCACCCCCCCTACCCCAGCCTCCAGTATATATGGCCCCACTCCCACACCTTAGGGTTAACACCCCACTGCCACCCCCTCTCTACCCACACCCCCACACCCCTACCCACCACCCCCCTACACCAGCCACTATTATATTTTGTTCTGTAAATTTTAGTATCAGTGATGAAACTGTACATGTAGAGTCATGTCACTGTAATGGCATAATTATCCTAAAGCATTCTCCTGAACCACAAGCAGAAACAGATCAATAAAGATTTGAAAAAAACTCAGTAGAAGTATGAATGTGTTTGTCCTTGCTGTACATGTAAAACAACACAATTCTAGATATGAATAATGTTTGTTTTAGCTGTAAGGTGTATTAGACTGAAGTTAAGGGTTTCACATTACAGATTGTTATTTGTAAAGAATCTGCTTAAGAAAATACCTGATGGGGGAGGGGGGGGGTTAAGACAGCACCTCCAGTTTTTTTGTTGTTATTTTAAGTTTCGGGCATTAAGTGATTAGTTCAAACATGGTGTAATATTTGAGTAGTTTTGTTATTATAATACAAAACATTCATGCTCTCAAAAATCGAAATTGTTCCTTGTTGCATTATTTAATTTAAGTGTACCAAAAGTAATGGAATGAAGATATGTTTAATGTTGGAATTTTTAAATAAATGATGTGTTAGAGTTTTGACTAATATTAATACATGCAATAAACTTTCAGAACTATGGTTGCTGTTTTTTTATTGTAAGATGTTGCTATAACTGTTAACACTAAGTATGGGGATTTTAGAAAATCTCTGTAAAAAAGGTCAGAATGGTAGTCTTAAGGTCTAATTTGAATATCTATTTCTTTCAGAGCAATTGGGATAAACGTATTGTGAAAAGTTTAAACAGCATGTGCACCGAGCTGGGAGTCCCTCTCGCAAGAAAGGTAAAGAAATCCTCATAGGATACCGACAGAAATATTTCCACAAGTTCTTTTGGGTAAACAACATGACATAAGAAATAGTTTTTGGGATACTGTAATAGTAGGCATTTTTTTAGTTCAAGTACCATGATACTCTGATTGATGTTGGGAGTTCACAACAATTATTACTGAAACTAGATACTTTAAAGCCATCAGCCATTTTCTGTTTGGATTAATTGATTACTTTAATTAATTAATATATTTATTTATTTATTTATTTGTAGAGAAGTGAGAAGGATCAAAAAGAAGTTATTGTACATTGGGGAGAGCTGGGGACGGCCGCTCCTGGTGAGTTCTTACTTTGAATTTTAAATTTTTTCTCTTACTGATTCCCTTAAAACTAGGGTTGGTCTTGCTCATTAAACAACTTTGCCTAGCCAAACTTTGATATTTGATGTATTTAAGTACAATCAATTGGAACAATAACATGTTTTGTGTTAATACAATCCTTTTCCTTTATTTCTTTAAACTTTTGGACAATATCTGGTCTTAATACATTTGATATATTTTACTGTATATTGGATAATGACATCTTGGGAATTTGCTTTGGTGGTTGTTTGACTTGCTAAACTAACTTTTTACATGGACTCTGGCATATCAGGAGTATTATGAACATTTACATAGTTTTGGTAATATTTGATATCCCAGTTGTGTGAAATGTGAAATTCAGAGATCTAATTTTGGTTCAAATATGCAGATGTTGTCAGCTGTTTTATGGGTAAGATGGGGTTTGAAGGAGATTGCAGTAATTTTTAGTTTCAAAGGCAGATGTCTGAAGTGTTTATGTATTTGTGTATGCTGATTTCTGATATTTATTTATTTTTACTTTTATATGTGTTCTGTTTTTATAAGGTCACTTTATTGGTGAATAAGTGAAAACTTGCTGATAATTTAATTTAGATATCTATAATAGACATGGTAAGCGTTGTCATCTTAAAATATTTCATTGAAGGATATAATATGATTAAAATTATCATAATTTCAGCCACATTAGCACATACCTTTTATCAGTTTTTGATGCAGTGCTATCTGGGTGTGTCACTGTAATTAGCTTTTAAGACCAAAATTTTGTTTCAATATCAAGCAGATTTTTTTTCTATTTTATAAATTCAAAGAGACCAGTGTGTTCTACTATTTGTAATTAATTGAATCAGCAGTTTAGAAAATGCATGTTTTGACAAAGCATGAATAATTCCCAGTATAGGTTAAAACCTAGGAGTGTGTGTTTAGTATTGATCAATGAGCAGTTCTAAGATGTATAAATCAAAGTAATGATTTTCCACCTCCTGTATCAACATAGTACAGTGTTATAAAAACAAGTTGATCTACTTTCACTTTCAGATTTGAGTGCTTTCCGCCCAGTGTATGCCCCCAAAGATTTCCTGGAGGTGTTAGTGGGGCTGAGGAACCCTAATGCCCACAGCGGGGAGCCTAGCAGGTCAGTTAATGGTCAGCAGTGTTCTTGACCCTTTCACCATCAAGCAGTACACTTAACTGGACAGGTCCACTTTCACAGATTGGGAACTCCATATCCTGGCTACTACCTAAGGTGCTCCCCCCCCCCCCCCACCCACCCAAACTATATATGGCCAAATGACCAAATAGTTCATTTCTGCCTAAATGGTAATCAGCGGACTTGCGCAAATCTTGTGAACTTTGTGAGCCAGTGAGAAGGTTTTACCAGCTGGTTCATGGATGACAGTTGCACCAAGAAGAGCCAACTCAACCTGTATGTAACCACGCCACACAGGTCACCACAGTGTCACAACCCTCAGTGCCAGGTTTCATATCCCCTACATTTAAAATGGAGATTGATGTGTAAATGCCACATATAACAGTGCCACCCTTCAATTTTCTATACACAAGGGTCTCTTTAGAAATCACTTTGTAAGTCAATCCCTATGACACTGTAGTGTCAGAATTCAATTGTTGGCAAATGGAAGTAATGTGGATAGTTTTGGTTTCAACCCTTCCCTGGTAACTTTTGCCATCAATGTTGAAATGACTCTGGTGTTTTTATTGGATTTGGTATCAGAAATATTATCCATCTTTTGGTGTATTTTTTATTATTGGAATTTGATGGCATTCTGAAGAGTTTTGGGAAGATAAGGAAATTGAGAGTTAGATTTTGTGGTTAATGTATAATTTCATGATTGTCTCAGAATTTGATTATGTTGGAAATGTATTTTTTGGAAGGTTTTACATAAGTGCCTGTAGGGCTTCAAGCACAAATGATAAGACAAGGTCAGTTTCTTAGTCTTTAGAAGTCACTATAGTTTGATTGGATTCCCATTGTGCAGGAGTCCAATGTTTTAGGTCAGATTCTGATAAAATTTATTTTAAAAGAATAATATAAAGATTCAAAATATATATTCTTCATTTAATTTATAATTGGCTTCAATGTTTTGTAAAGCAGTACAAGCCACTAAGATTCCACATTAGATTACTACATTTTTTTATATCAAGAGACATAACTTTTATCTTGGGAGTCTGTTTCTTGATACTAATGTGAGCTGTAGTCAATTTCACAACATTTTTTTTCCAAAGATCTATCCCACAGATAGCCCAGTCACTCAGAAGAGATTGTCTTTGATTAAAATTGATTATCATTTCTTCAGTTTGTGATTAATGTTTTATTTTTTCAGTTTTTCCTCACTGTGGGGGATCATCCAAGTTCCCCTTAGAATTAGGAGTATAATGGAACTGGTAAGTACACACTTAGGATGCTTTCCCCATAAAACTAGTCTTCTACCAAGATGGATAATTTTATTGGGCACCTGCCCACAGTGTTTGAATTATCTCTTTCCTCTGTCAGTGAGGGAAATGTTTTCATGAACATTGGTTTGTTTGGCAGACATCTTCAGATGTTCTTCTCAAATTTTGATGAAATTACCAAGATAGACAATTATTCAGGAGGGAAAGAAGTAATTGCAATTTCTTATATTTTTAAAAAGATTTTTAGTGTCTTTTTTCGCTGGCAGTCTGCACTCTAGGGGTGTTCTCAAGTTATACATCAACATGAAGCCAGGCAGCCACCCAGCTGTCTTTTGGGTCCTCTCTTTCAAAGTTCTGGCTAATCTACTGATGTGAAGACACTCCCAGTTAAAGAAAGTTCTTCCCAAATACTTCAGAATAGAAATGTCCCTAGAAATGACCTGGTGTGAAAACATGACAGGATTATTGCTTGAGATTATTGCTTATTGCTTGAGTTAATTCTGTGCAGCACAGAGAATACAATACCCATTATATATATATATATATATATATATATATATATATATATATATATATATATATATATATATATATAATTAGTGTGGCTTGGAAATAATCCATTTGACCTCAGTGTGGCTTGATGTTGCGTGAGTGGAATATGCATGGTGATATGGTGTACAGTTATATATCAGTATTACAATATCCATGCAGGAAATTAAACATATTTGACTTCTTGGGTTTCAGCAAAGCTTTTGATAGATAAATGTTATATATTGTTGTGTTGCCAGACAGTATAAGGACTAGGAAACATAATTATGATGTTAAATTAGTCAACCAGTTATATGAGATAAGCAATTTAAAAACTGTCAGACAGAATTTTGTAAAAGTTGTTGTTCATAAAAGATGCTTAGCAGGCATTAAAAAACATGTGATATGATATAACAAGTGATATGAGGTGCTTTTCCTCAACTTTTCAGCCCCATTCATTTAAACTTATATAGCATGCTTTTATGTTTTTTTTTTTTTTTTGAATGTATGTTATTTATTTGTATTCTGTTTTTAAAAAGAATTTGATTTAATACAAAAGGAAAACTGGTATTACTGCATCTGCCTCTATGATGACCATGTAAAATATTTCATAAAGCTTAATCTCAAAATTTGATATAATTATTTTAAGTTTTATATTTTAAATTAATAACCTAATGGCTCAAGAATGTCAGGCACAATTCATATAGTAAATATGACAAATGACTACAAAATGAAAAATTTAAACTTGCCGAGAGTGCAGACTTTTATTTAATTGATTGGTTGGTTGATTAAACAAATGATCATCAATGGAAGTTATCAAATTTCTGAAAGTTTTATCCAAATCCATCCATAACATTTTGAGTTGGGTTGTTCACAAAGAAACCAAGAAAGGCAATCAGTGAACCTCCATGGAGATTAATGGAAATAAAACTGCAGGTTGGGATGACCCACGAGAACAACGCTGATGTCAAACGCATTAATGCATTTTGTATCGCTGACTTTGTTATCTAATAAGAGAAGCTGTAGGAAGCCCCAGTCCTATAATTGGAGTAAAGGGGAGAAAAAATAACCTCCAGTTTTAGTTCACGCTTACTTTACCAAGTAATCAGAAAAGCTGATTGTTGTGGAAATATGCATATATATATTTAAAAAAAAAAACATAGAAATTAGACCAAAAAATTAGAAAATCTGACTAAGCTGAACTTCATTGAAAGCCATACTCTCATACTGCCACCTGTATCACACAACATATTGAATTAAATTTAAATACATAGATGCTGTAACAACTGCAACATAAAATGAAAATTATTTTATAAACAGTAAAATAATGCGAACTGTATTTTCATCAAACCTCTGCTTTAATTACAAACCTAACACCTGCAAAGAAAAAAAAGATTATAAGGAAAAACAAGAGCACATTAAGCCACACATACCTTTGGATCAGACAAAAACTGTCACCAGTGAATAAATTTGTCCAACTATTTTCACATTGAAAGTCCCACCATTTCCCTAATCTGCGGTAATTTGTTTCATGGATCAGAGCACTTCCCACTGTGCTGGTTGTGGTTTGAACTGGTTGATTGTTTTACCCCTCGCAGCCTTTTATATCTTCACCTCTCCTGCATACGTCAGTTCTGATTACGACTCGGGTTTTGGTTACATGATTGGATTTACCTATCCCTGTGGAAAAATCCCCTTGCAAGGCATAGTTTTTATCTGTACGTACGTGTGCAGGACCTGCCTCCGTTAGCTTGCAATCACAAATGTTGGCCTAGAACTTGAGCTTAGAAAAGAATTCCCATTAAAGAAGCAGCTTAAGTTAGCTATTTCATGGTACATTTGTATAATCTTGCAATAGATTTTTGTGCACTTAGCAAAGTGGAGGCCGATCCTGCAGACAAGGTATTGGTTTTCTTCAGGCAAGATTTGGAGTGAGGTTCAATTTTTAGAATTCTTAGAATTATTTATAATGGTCTTGCTTGATGTTTATATTTTGTATGTTGTGTTGGCCATGTTAAGTCTGATCATTTAGCACACGCTGCTATTTCATCCTGTAGCGTGTAATTAGACTATTTGATGCACATTAAACAAGCAAGTTTCAGCATGGGGTAAAGCAATCATGTGCATGACACTTGTAAATACCTCACTGGAATGTTATCGAGTAATGGGCATGACACAAATTTTTTCGTAGAATTTTTGAAAACTTTTTTGCAACAAAGTGAATTCCCACACTGAGATAAGTTTTAAAAGTAGTTGAAGAGTTGTGTGTATTTCAAGGAATTTCTTTTTTTCCCTGAAAACAGCGGAGTGAATTCTAGGTATTTCCTGCAAAAGACCTGTAACATTTTAAAAAGACATCTTTTAAATGGTTTCCGGGAAGAAAGCAGCCAAATGTCAGATAGAACATGAATTACATAATACATTTTTTCAGGATAATCAGAAGGCAATGAGTTTAGTGAAACTCGAAAAGTAATAAATCTTAAGTGAATATGACATTTTGAGGAAGATTTTGATCATCACCCATAAGGCGTACTGTGTACATGAAGATCTTGGCTGATAATGTCATAGAAATTCAGAAATACTATGTAGAGCATTTTCTCAGAAATTCTAGGCTTTTTCAATTATACCAGGTGAAACATTGCCCCCCCCCCCATCCCCATTCAAACCATGACATCAAGTATAATGAATTAACAATGTTATAAATATAAATGTTAACTGTAATTATGTAATATTTTCAGCAACTTCTGAATAACATCTTTTTGAACATTTTGATAAACTATTTATGAATGTAATTAAATTTCATAATTTTGGTATAATTTCACATAATTTTAGAACATTTCCAAGCAGACCAAAGTGGAGAAGTGTTCAGTGCCAGTGTAAACAACTTCAACTCATATCTTGGTATCAGTAAAGCAGCCCTACACGAAAACAATAACTATAGGTCATTTGTTTGTTTATTTATTTATTTGTTTACAATGCTATCATGTTATCTTTGAGGAATTTTGGGAAAGGAGAACCAAACATTCTTCCTCCAGACCTCACTGCCACTTTCTTCAAAACACCTCATTCTTTGGGGCAGATATCTGAAAATGGGTTTGTTTATGGTTTTAATTTACTTACTGGATTACTGATTTCTTCCTAATCCTTCTTCATTACTAAGAAGTGTTCATTAATCACAGTTGCAATTAAACCATGAACTTGAAAGTAACGTGATAGATTATCTTCTACTCTCAAAACTTTGAAAAAAGTTAATTGCTTGGACACATGCTGTGCTGTAACAAGCTTGATTTCAGGCAACAACTTTGTGCCAAAGTTTATACAGTTTATTTTGATGCAGGTGTAATTGAAATAATTATAGTTTGCATATGCCTGTACTACTACGTATGTGTAGCAACAGATATCTGACAAGAAAAATCAGCACCAATGTTAATCGTATATACCTGTTAGTTTTATGGAATTTTTGGGAGAAAACATTAAAGGTCTGATTTCTTTCCTTTCCTTGCCCTTCATAAACCAAAGACTCTTATTGCCATACAGGTCATAGCAGTCCACTCTTGAGGGATGATATACAAATATCAGGTGAGCTATAAAAAGACACTCTTAGTACAGGACATCTATTGTAGTGACCAACCCTATCAAATATAATGTTCTGTTCATTACCCATCAGAGAAGAGCAGAAACACATCCATCAGATCCAGTATTCAGACAGAGTATCATGGCAGATAATGAGGGTTATTGCTCTTTAACTTGGTGTGATTAGAACGACAAATTAAAAGATTCCAGGTTAATCGAGTTAATTGTAGAGATTAATTGAATTTGAATTGCAGTGGCGTTTGGAACATCATATCTCCTTGGCTTTAAATTAACACCTAATTTAGACTCATTATTCACTGAGAGTGAGTGCTACCTGCTCTCTCCTGGAACCTGGTATATCCTGTTACAAACAGTGGGAGGAGAGGGGGGAGGAGAGAGGGGGAGGAGGTACTGGGACATCTTCATCTTCGGCAATGTTTTTGGCTGTTTTTCATTGTGAAAAGTTGTCAGAAAATGAATAGTTTGAACTATGCTATCAGCGTTCCAACAGAGCTAAATCCAATAGTAACAGCAGCTTCAAGTCGACATTAATATTTCATGGTTTCCCTTAATGAACAAGTTTGGTGTTAGTAAACAACAATGACCACGTAGACAGTACATTGTGGATAAGACAGAGTCCAGTCACTTCCCAACACTTCACTGTGATCAATATATTATTTATACAAACTGCTGATTCTAATTTTGCCCAGCATAACAACTGAAAAAAAAAGAATAAGATTTAAAATGAGAGAGAAAAAAAGAAAGCACAAACTTAACTCATCACTTTAAAGGACTTTACAGAATACAGATCTAGGTCCAGTCCTGTAGATAATATACTATTAGTGACTTCAGCTGTGATCTACTAAACAACAGACAGGCCTGTGAGGAAT